AACACTAAATTTCTCGGAACCCACGGCATATCCGGTCCCGCCATTTTCCTTATTTGCATCTTATGTTATTAACTTTCGCTGATATCAAGCATTTTCAATAACTTGTTGTACAAACCGAGATGGTCCCTTGTAAGAAAAAATTAAGAATTTCTAAAATCTTGTCAATGTATATATAGTTTTTCTGTGCTTTTTCATGAATTTTTTTTTCCGCCAGGATAATAAGTGAGATATTGTTTATTAATTAAATCTCGCTAATTTATTTTAGAGTCACATTGTATAATTCACGTTGTATAATTCCAATAATGCTGTTTTAGCCATTTTTATCTTTGCATCCTTTTTGCTTGCAATTGGAAGATAAATATTATTTATATATGTATAATAATTTCGAAATATTTTATGATAATTCGTAGAATACAAGGTGTACCATTTTAAATGACAACCTCAAATTTCTCTTGAATAGTGCATTTTAGAGAAAAATGTTTCAGACAAATGTTTTGTGACTTCGAGGGGGACATAAAATGGTATCATTGGTTTGATCTTGGGTGGCATTGTCAAGGTCAGGGCAAGGTCACTTCGAATTTTTTAAATGGAATCTTCCATTTTTCATTATGTATTCTTGTAACTTACCTTGAGAGCTTTTCAAAACACTATAATAAAATATTTTTTCATTAAATACTTTGCGAGTTATAAGGCTTGAAAGTTATAGTACCGTCGGCACTAACATTACCCAAGATGTCCGACCGATGGCTAAAACCTCTGGAATGTTGTTTAGGATCATGGCCTGGATAACATTTATCAAGATCAAGACCATTGGAAGTTGTACCTCTTATTTTCATTTTTACGTACAAATGAATTTTTAGTGCAAAAATGAAAATAAGAAGAACAGCCTCTAATGACTTTGATCTCGAAAAATGTTATCCAGATCATGATACTAATGCCGGCGGTACTGTAACTTGTAAGCCTTATAACTCGAGAAGTACTTAATGAAAATGGATTTAATTATAGTGTTTTGAAAAGCTCTCAAGGTAAGTTACAAGAATATATAATGAAAAATGGAAGGTTCCATTTAAAAAATTCGAAGTGACCTTGCCCTGACCTTGACAACGCCACCCAAGGTCAAACCAATGATATCATTTTATGTCCCCCTCAAAGTCATAAAATATTTGTTTGAAACATTTTTCTCTAAAATGCACTATTCAAGAGAAATTTGAGGTTGTCATCCCATTTAAAATGGGACACCGTGTATATACGTACCTGTTCCTGAAAATTTCATTCCATTAATTTTAGTATAATAGTTACAGAAAATACCTCATGTGGTATTTTACTTTTAATACGGTTCACAATATATGTTAGATTAGGTTGCATATGACTCAGATAGAGGTATTCTTGTAGGATTGCAGGGCGGAAGTCTTTTGATTGTCTCTTGACAAATTTCGTTCCGAGTTCTAATATTCCCAACAATTGGATTCAATGTTCTCTCATTATTCCAATCAAGTAGTATAAGTTTATAAAGTGCAAAATTGGCCAATGAATGCCATACAATCGCATTTTTAGCACTCGTGATTATGGCGTTTTATGCGTCAATTTTTTCTTTGTTTTTATCCACAGATGAATTAGCAGCCTGTGTATCAGATTGACCACATGTACATGTTGTAGATTTTACTGCCATTTTTTCAAAAAATATATCTTAATACTTTTTCAGCTGCATCTTGACGAGTGATTTAGATAATCCTTTTCCATGGTAATGTTTACCACTAGACTGTAAATAAATGTTATTAAAGTATTATTGGTCGATTTACATCTACCTTTGGATGTTATAAGCATTTTGAAGATGAGATGACATGCAACATAATATTACAAATAATATCTGTCTAATATTGTAAGAATATAATATGTATTATAGTAAATTATTAATTAAAATAAGAAAATAATTACCTCAACAAATTCGGTATCTGATATGATTTCAAAACGGTCATTATCAGAATTGCCACCTGTATCAGAACTGTCATCCGTATCAGAATTGACATCTGTATCAGAACTGTCATCCGTACTTTGCTTTAAAATCGGCTTCAATTGTTGTGGCATACAAGCCTGAGAACTTATCGGTGTAGTTTGTTCAACAGTTGGTTGCGTACTTGCTGTACTTGGATTTAAGATTGGATTCAACTGCTTCAAAGTCGAATCCAATTGCTTTAAGAATAACTTCGATTGTGGCAATGATTGTTGTGCATCTTGTGAATTAACATTCATGTTCTCAAGATCTACATTTCCACCATAATTATCATCCGTATCAGAATTGCTATACGTATCAGAACAGCTATCTGTATCAGAATAGCTATCCGTATCAAAATTATGATTAGTTAAGGTTAGAGCAGGTACTGTAGGAGCCACACAAGGGTAAGAAGTTATCGGCGTAGTTTCAACAACAGCTGGCAAATTAACATCTATGTTTTCAAGATTTACGTCTCCACCATACATATCATTCGTATCAGAATTGTCATCTGTATCAGAACTGTCATCCATATTAGAATTGTCATCTGTATCAGAACTGTCATCCGTACTTTGCTTTAAAATCGGCTTTAATTGTTGTGGCAATGGAGGTGAATTTGACGCTTGTTGCTGCTGTGCTTGTATAATCTGTCGGTTTATTGGTTGTTTACTGCATCGTATAGTCTCTCCTACGATCTGTACGTTTATTTATTCTTGCGATGGTTGGATATCTAGCAACACAAGTTCGGTATCTGATATAATTTCAATACTTTCATTATCAGAATTGTTATCTGTATCAGAATTGTCATCTGTATCAGAACTGTCATCCATATTAGAATTGTCATCTGTATCGGAACTGTCATCCGTACTTTGCTTTAAAATCGGCTTTAATTGTTGTGGCAATGGAGGTGAATTTGACGCTTGTTGCTGCTGTGCTTGTATAATCTGTCGGTTTATTGGTTGTTTACTGTATCGTATAGTCTCTCCTACGATCTGTACGTTTATTTGTTCTTTCGATGGTTGGATATCTAGCAACACAAGTTCGGCATCTGATACGATTTCAAAACATTCATTATCAGAATTGTCATCCGTATCAGAATCATTACTAGCTGAGCGTGGAACAGTTGCTGTACTTGGCTCCAGTTGTTGCAACAATGAAGGTAAATTTGATCGACTCAGCAGTTGATTTACTTGTTGTACAATCCGATTCATCCATTGGTTTAGTGATTGTACCGACCATATTCTCAGTAATTGCTGCTTCATAGTTGTAGTTTTCGTTGCTGTTGTAAATGCAATTTTTGTTGCCGTTCTTGCTGTTGCTTTTATAGTTGTAACTTCTGCTGCTGTAACAATTGTTTTAAAGTAATTTTAGTTATTGTGTATATGCTATATTATAGTTATAATACAAAGTCGTGTTAATGTGGCTGCTAACATTTACGTGTGATTTTGTTATTGTTATCAATCCTTGTGAGTTCTTACGTTGTTTCATTCGCAATTACTTTATTGAATCGACATAGATTGCAATGCTTGAAGACTTCTTTATTGTATATATGTATATATGTTATATTTTCAAACAAGGATAGAGTCACACAACTCTATCTGGAAATGATTCTTAATAGACTTTCTTATTTTCTAATATTGTAATAAACATCCTTATATTAAAAATAAAAAAAGTTTTATAATTATTCGCGATCTTGTTATACACAGTTATATGCGAGCTGATTTGTAAAATTGCAAACCATCCTAATCCCTTTAATTTGTCGCGCGTTAAATACGTTTGGTATGCGGAAATATTTTGACAGCCTCGAATATTCTCGACGTAATAGCCAACACGAAAGAGCATACCACTTTTTCTCGATAACGTTAATTCTCAGACAGTCGTGAACTATCACAAAAACGATTAAAAACAATAATAATTACAAACGAACTCTCAAATTGTAAATAATATATTAATAAATAAAAGTAGGCTAATGAGAGTTAGCGCGACTAAACGGCACAAATTATTAGCTAGAATAATTTTAATACTCTGTAATTATCGAGGGGGTAACCACTTAATGTAATCGTGGGACAGAGTCCTCGAAATCATAAAATTCATATGAAATCTCTATGTATAATCCGATAATTACATATGCAACCACGATAAATCATTGTACAATATTAAATAAATTTGTATATTTTACCAAATGACTTGATATGTAGTGAAAAAAATTATTTGTAATCAGATGAAATCATATGAAGTCATGTAATCTGTGGGACAATATTTTAGCTAGTAGTTACCCCCTCGGTAATTATCTTTATTTGAACGATTCAACTATCTTTGGAATCCTCCTCAAAAATGTAGATACTTATAAAAGTATAGATAGCTCACATATCCATAATGATCAAGTCACTTACAAATTGACAAAGATAAAGTGTTATCATTATAGAAAGAGAAGCATGTCACGAAACTTTGTTACACATTTAATAGCGAAATTAAATACAGATTGTAATATCAAAAATACAGATATACAGATTACACATGTTAAGATCACGTCTTTAATTTCGCTGTGGAACATGTATATTTAAATTTTTGATATTACAATCTGTATTTAATTTCGCTGTTAAATATGTAACAAAACTCCATGATACGCTTCTCTGTCTATAACGATAACGCTTTATCTTTATCAATTTGTGACTTGATCATTATGGATATGTGAGCTACCTATACTTTTGTATCTACATTGCTGAGGAGGACTCCAAAGAGAGTTGAAATGTTCAAATAAAGAAGACATCATTCTAACTACAGAGTAAAATTATTCCATAATAATTTGCGTCGTTTAGCCGGGCTGAATTTCATATTAGCTTACTTTTATTTAATATTCTTGAGGCTTTCACGGGTGTTTCCTATATGACAATCTTGTGTTTCGCGGGTTTAGTTTCATATTAGCTTACTTTTATTTATTTGTATTCAATTTAAAAACCATTAAGTCAGTCACCAGGGTACCTATTATGTATCTTTTTCCCTAGGACGAAAACGTGAAAAGTGAGAATTTCTTGTATATTTATGTATATATACGGGGTGCCCCGAACTTTTTTGCCAATCACTTTTGTGTAGATAGAGCGGACTAAACTGAGTCGAAAAGTCCTCCACCATTTTGCAATTTTCGCTGTAGTTAACAAGATATTACTATAATTAATTACTATATATTAATTACTATATATTAATTACTATATATTAATTACTATATATTAATTACTATAAATTGCCAAATATTCTTCTTGAATAATTTTTTACTCAAGTATTATGAACTTTATAGAAAAGCTGCAAGAGACAAAA